TTTCCCCGAGTTTGTGTTGAATGCGATCAAGACGCTTTATGCCAATGTTACAACCACCATTATCTTGGGCGGGGTGTCTCACTGCTCTTTTCGGATCCTCCGCGGGATTAAACAAGGATGCCCACTCTCGGGAAGCGTGTTCGCCCTGGGGGTTCGATCCGATTTTACGCTTGCTCTGTCTTCGGCTGCCCCGTCCAGCCCACTTGCACGGCGCCTTCGCCGACGATGTTGCCTCCGCGGCCTTTGACATCTACACGGCCGTGCTTAGTTTCATGAAAGTTATGATGCTTGCAGGGCACGCCGCTGGGCTCATCCCGAACTTCAAAAAGACGGTGGTATTATTTTACCGCGATTTTAACAGGGAGGAGGAGGAGAGAAAGTTCCAACAGCAGGGGATCAGGGTTCGGAGCTTCGGGATGTCCAAGTGTGCCAAGTATCTTGGAGTGGTGCGTGGGATCAGGGCCCAAGAGGAATCTCGGGCCGCCCCACTGGTCAGGATCCGCGACCGCTGCCGCTTCATTAAGTCTTTGAAGTTAGGCCTGTCGATGTCTCTTGTGGCGTACAACCAGATAGCGGTCACTGTGCTCATGTACATCGCTCAGTTCTTTCCGCCCACGGCCGAGTGCTGCTGGCAAGTGCATCTCGGTCTGCAGTCTTTAACATGTGTTTTTCGGCATGCCCTTTCTGATCACGTGCTGGTGGGAATGAAGTCCCTTGGGGGAAAGCTATATCCGGCCAGGTCTCTCACACATGAAGCTCGTGCAGCTGCATATCGTGCTACCCTCGCCTCGTCGGTCTTTTCCGCCTGCATCGAGAAAATCGAGGACGCGTTCGATGACCCCGAATGCCACCTGGATGCCCATCTTCATTCCGTTTTTACCAAGTCTTTCGTTTTAATGATGGCCCAGAACTATCGCGAGTTATCCAGAGTCCCGACCGCCCCCACCGTCTTCGAGCATGGGCTTCAGAAGAAAATGACCAAGCTTGTTCTCTCACATCAGCCCCTGGTTCCGTTTCCTGAGCTTATTCTGAGGCGTCTTCAGCACTGGGCTTCGAGGTTTCCTGAAGTTGGCCAAGTTGGGGCTCCCGAAGCCCAGCTGCGTTTCTCTCGGCTAAAAATGGTCGGCCATCATATTGCCATATTGCTCCCTTCGTTCAGCTCAGTCTGTTGCGCAGTATATGTAATGCTTGGAATACCTCACGGAGATATCGCCAGACCACCTTGGGATGCAGGTTCGGATGCCAATGCATTGCTGGCGACCAGATCGCGCGCTATCTTGTCTGCCCAGTTCTTCTTGGAGTGATGCGTGCTAATCTGCCTAGGCCCCCACCTTGGTGGGGGGCGGAGGTGTTTGCTGGGCCCCTTCTTTTCCCTTTGCCTCTCTCGTGCGAAGAAGCCGCCTCCATTGCCATAGCACGCGATGTTCTTTTAAACGCGTTTAATAAGCTCAGGTCCGAGGGGGCCCAAAGCACTTCGCGAGCCATACGGCTTGCTGCAGGCCGTTTCCGCCTTATCTGCCGAAGGGATGCCCGGGCGAGGACTCTGGCGCGGCGGTAGGGCCTCTGGCGGTGCGGGCTCCTCGGATGGCCTGCCAGATGGGATCGGGTCTCCTCCTTCTTTCGAGCAAGACTTCGTCTGGCTTAATCCGCTCAGTCAGTCAGACGTGTCTGGGCCTGCGACTCGTCAAAGACGGGCGCGCAAGCCAACCGACGGGGCGCTGCGGCAGGCCGGTGCACGGAGGTCTCCCCGCAGCGCTCCCGGGGCCTTCGTGCATTTCGGGGCCTGCCCCTCCAGGTGCCCCACGCTTTGATAGGCCCAGGCCCAGGCAGCGGCCGAAGATCGGCCTCGCTGCCGGGACACAGCTTTGGCTTGGCGTTGCTCCTCGTGCGTCAGTCAACCCCTCGGGCCCCGCCTGCAGCGGCGCGCGCGGCCCTCAGCCGCTTCGAACACCGCGAGCGGGCGACCGTGGCAGACGCCTTGGAATTTGCCAGGCGGTTTGATTGCGCTGCCAGGAGGGCAGGGGCCCGCGCGCAACCCGACCCGATGCCATCGCCTGTAGTGCCCGATGCAAAGTGAGGAAGATTGCAGCTGGCGCCTGCTACGTGCTGCCAAAAGAGCTGCCCGACATCTTGTTCGAGTGCAGTTCGCGCAATGCCGCGGACGGCTCCGAACAACCAACCCGCTGCCCAGTGCGGAAGCTGTGGTCGGAGCTTGGATAGCACCAGCAGCCCGCGCCCGCGCCGACCCGATGCCAAATGCGGACGGCATTTGCGCACGTTGCGAGCGCACTTTGGTATTTGACCCACTGCGCATTGCCTCGGCGTTCTCGGCGCGTAGGTTCGGTCGAGCACTTCTGTTCTTACGACGCGAGAGGATGCCAGGTCTGCCGTCTGTGCCCCGCAGCCGCCGGTCCCCTGCGCTGTTGCAGTGCCGGGCTTCCACGTGCATTCCTGCTTGCCTCTGGGGGGCGTTCTTGGGGCCCTCTTGGGCCGTCCTGGAGGCCTCTGGGCCCGTCTTGGAGCCGTCTTGGGGCCCTCTTGGGGGCCTCTTAGGCCTTCTTGGGGCGATCTTGGAGGCCTCTTGAGCCGTTTAGGGGCGTCGGGGAACCGCAAAGGTTGAAACGATTTGCCTCTTGGGGCCCTTTTGGGAGTTCTCTTGGAGGCCTCTTGGGGCATCTTGGAGGTTTCTTGGGTCATCTTGGAGACGTATTGGGCCGTCTGGAGGCCATCTTGGGCGTCGTGGAGCGATGTTCGGGCGTCTCGGACCTCTCTTGGACCGTGTTGGAGGCGTTTGGGGGGCCGTCTTGGAGGCCTCTGGGGCCGTCTTGGAGCCGTCTTGGGGCCCTTTTGAAGGCCTCTTGGGCCCTCCTGAGGCGATCTTGGAGGCCTCTTGAGAAGTTTAGGGGCGTCGGGCAACCGAAAAGGTTGAAACGCCAAAATTTGTCCAAAACCTAAGGAAAAAATGCAGATGTTTGCCTCTTGGGGCCCTCCGGGGAGTGCTCCTGGAGGCCTCTTGGGGCATCTTGGAGGCTTGTTGGGTCACTTTGGAGACCTCTTGGGCCGTCTGGAGGCCATCTTGGGCGCCGTGGAGCGATCTTCGGGCGTCAAGGACCTCTCTTGGATTGTGTTGGGGGCCTCTTGGGGCCCTCTTGGGGCGATCCTGGAGGATTTGGGGGAGTGTCCCGGGCGTGTCCCAGGCGTGTCCCGGGTTCCGCCCGGGTTTTTTTTATCCAGGGACCCCCAGGGGCCGCCCCGCGCGCGCGAACAAGAAATACGGTTTACCAGTTACCGGAGATCTTAGCCCGCCTCTGGCCCGCTGGGCTGGCGAATTCTCCCCTCAGCTTCCCCCCTGCTACCCCAAATTATCATGGCGAAGGACCCAACCATGTGCAGTTGTGAGTACCGTCGTTGCTGGTATAGCAGTCGGGGGACTTCCTCATGGAGTCATGAAGCATGCGAAGGGTGCGCCGATATGGGGCGGGGCAGCCTTGTGGGCGCTGCCACTGGGGCTTTTGGCGGAACCCATTAAGGGGCCGCGAAACGTGTGAACGGTGCGCCGCAATGGAGCGGGGCCGCCATTGGGGCTTTCAGTGGAGCTCCTCATGGGGCCACGAAGCATTGTCTTGGGTGGGGAATACGCACGCGGAGACTGCCACTTGGGCCTTCGGTGGAACTTCCTAGTGGGCCACGAAACGTTGTACTGGGTGGGGGAGACGTATGCGGACATCGCCGCTGGGGCCTCCGGTGGAGCTCCCTATGGGGCCACGAAGCGGTGTATTGAGTGGGGGACACGCACGTAGACGGTGCCATTGAGGCCAGGTGGAGCTCCCTATGGGGCCACGAAACATTGCACAAGGTGGGGGAGAAACACGCGGAAACTACCACTGGGGCCCTCGGTGGAGCTCCCTTCGGGACCACGAAACGTTGTACTGGGTGGGGGAGACGCATGCGGACGGCGCCACTGGGGCCGTCGGTGTAGCTACAGATGAGGCCACGAAGCGCTGTGTTTGGGTGGGGGGGCGCATGCGGGTGGTAGCGCTGGGGCCTTGGGGTCTCCCTATGGCCTATGAGGCCACAAAGCGTTGTACTGGGTGAGGGGGACGCAAGCGGGCGGTAGCACTGAGGCCGTCGGTGGAGCTCCCTATGGGCCCACGAAGCGCTGCACTTGGTGGTGGGGACGCATGCGGGCGGTAGAATTGGGGCCTTCGGTGGAGCTCCCTATGGGGTTACGAAGGGCTGTACCGGATGGTGGTGACGCATGCGGGCGGTAGCGCTGGGACCTTCGGTGGAGCTCTTATGGGGCCACGAGACGTGTGAGAGGTGTTCCAAAATGGTTGATTGGTGCGGAGGGCAGAGGCAGGGATGGGAGGAGGAAGGGGGGGAGTCAGCGGAGGAGGAAGGAGACGCGGGGCGCTGTCTCTTCAAAACGAAGATGCAGTACCACAGGATGGTTGGGATTAAGACAATATGCTTCAAGGGAGGAAACACCACCCGGACTGGACAATTTGCGTTTACGAAACGGCCGTGGGCGTTTACTAAACAGCCCTGCTCTGTTCGATTCCCTCAGTGGGGTCCCTCAGTGGGTGCGTTTAGTAAGCGGCTTCGCGTGTCGGGGTGGTTATCAACGGGGTGGATTTTCTGCCCTCTAATGTTTGAGAAGGCCTTCCAATGACAGCACCGTCCTGACCCCTTCCCCTCCGGAGGGCCAGTCCTGGCCAGAGGGGCTAGAAGCGCCACGACGAGAAGGAGGGCGACGACACAGAAGGAGAAGGGGAAGGGGCCAAGATGGAGGAGGGAAGGAGGAGGGAGGACGGGGAGGACGAGGAGGAGGACAGGAAAGAAAAATCAAGAGGGGGGAGGAGGGCGAGGACACAGGACGAGGAGGGAACAAGGAGGGAGGAGGGAGGAGGGAACGGGAGGGAGGAGGAGGAGCACGAGAAGGAAAGCTGGCGGTGATCCGATTTGCCGGTCCGATACTGGGGGCCGCCTGCCCGCGCCAG